TCCTACCTGGTTTGGGAGATCAGCTGTGGACTGTGTGTCTCCAAGGAGGGACTGAGATGAGATGGGGATTACTCATCAGCTTGGCGTGGATTTAATGTTTGATCAGAAGCGACACCATGGCATTCACTTCACAGAAGAGATGGGTTCCAGACAAGGATTTGCCTCAGAAGGAATTTCTAGTACTTTTGACAGACTGTATATAGTGTTCTGCACAACTGCTACAGTATCTAGGTTCCCCTAAAAGGCCACTATTTGGACAACATTCACTCAGAGTGGGGAGAAGAAATCAAAGAGTAATAAGACAGATGAAGGGTGAGCATGGCATTTCATAAAGGAATCCACAAGGAAGCGAAGATTTGTAGGATAGCTATGTTCAGACGGCTTTGAAGTGAGCTATGAGACATTCAGTTCAAAGGATGAAACTAAACCTAGTCCAAAGTAAAACTCACATACCACATGTAGTGGAAATGTCACGAGGTTCACCAGTTAATTCAGCATGGCTTTGCTTCAGTCATCTGCCCAAGCTGCTCCAAATTCTACGTTACTGTAAGCATCACTGACATGGACGTGCTGCAGTGTAACTATCTTCAGTCAGGGGAGAACAAGTTTCAGCTGCTTCTTCAGACTTCTTCAGACTTTTACAGTGTCATTTGGAAGTCTTTTGTGTGGAATGTGAAAAACCCAGGACACCACTCTGTAAATTCCTGACTTGTCTCATCCTTTAAAGAACACTAATATTGATATTGCTGAAGAACTACCCCAGTGACATCTCAGTTAAATCCTTCTAGGACATGTACTGAGGAATGACATTTGAGATTTAAATGAGATAAAGAAAAGAAGCATTAAACAGGAAATCTAATACATAGGTTTATCAAGACAATGTTGCTTTACCAGACAAACAGGATAAAGAGTTGGGTTGTCAATCTCAGTAGGATTTTCTGTCTGTACTCTAGTTTTGATTCTAAAGCAATTCTGAGAAAAAAAAATCTTGGAATGAAAGTCACTATTTCTAGCTAAGAAGGAATTGGTTATTTTTCAAGGAAGAAGACAAAGAAAGATGAAGGAGTAAAGCATGAAGAATGAGAAAGATTACTAGAAACAGAACAATCTGGGAGATTCCTCAGTCATATTCTGGAGATAGGAGCACAGCAAAACAGATATACATAAATCCAAACTGACAATGGCTAATGCAGCTATTTTGGAAGAAGATGCTTTTAGGGTGGGTAATTATGGAAAAAAACTTCCTACTGAAGAAGCTACACCCTAGCCAGTTGTTGATAACCTGAAGCCCTTCTTTCTCATCCATATTTTTGTAACATTCAGTGCTGTCGAAGGCTTGAGGGATGTTGGCTTTTGTTAATCCTGTCACATTACTGCACTCCAAAATTACTTATTACGGCACTGAATTCAACATGTTAACTGTGCATTGTTATTGAAAAGAATCACAGGGAGATATCATACTGCTTTCGTGTACATGATCTACCAAGCGTCAACAACTGCAAATAATGACTCTCAAATTCTTGAGATTTCATTTTAGCAAGTGAGACATTCTAGAGAATACACCTGATGATGTAAACAGAAGTTTTTTTCCAACCTTTGCCTTAACCTGAAAATGGTAGTCTTTTCCAACACAATCAGAAAAATTGGTTTTAAATGAAGCCATTGCTCCTTCTTTCTTTTAGGTATCTTTATATTTCCCTAATACTACACAGATTCAGTAATATTTCTAACAGAATTTGCATCTCCCTTATCTTTTCCTACCATCTCATTACTGGAATTAGAGAATGTCTCAAGGCAAACTCAAAACTTTCATCTACATCCCCACTTCACTGGCTTCAGTTCAATACTGTAGTCCTCATTTAAAGGCCTATAACAGGCATCAGTAAAGAAAAAAGTCCCATCAGCACATTCTGGAAGACTTTTATGTCTTAAGTTTGCCAGGTTCCTCCTCTCTGCATTTGGAAGATTTCATCTGTAACAACATATAATTAACACACTTAAAATGCAACTGTATGCACCATGTACAACTTCACTTTAAATAACTGTAATTCTCAAGACTTTCCAAGTGTGAAGGCAGTAGTATAGTTGTACAGAATATCAACACAAACTGATCTTGCCATTATTTACATCAACAAAGAATTGCTGAAATTTTCCTGCAATCCTTCTATTCCAGTTCTGCCAAAAAAACCCACAAAATGTTTCCCACCGGTTGGGCACTAAACATCCACAAGCTTCCAACATTTCTCTTAATTATTTACAGTTTAGTGGTGCTTAACATTAAAACTGCAGCATCACTGTAGCTCTTAGATGTGAACAGCAGTGCAACAAGTAAAAAGGATAAGGATAATTTGAAAACAACAGGCTTCCTGAGCATATAGCTCAAGCTATCACACCCTCCCTAAGGAGAGACATTATCGCCAACCAAGCAGCTGTGTCATTTTTTTCATCCTTACCATGAGTTTGATCCTAGAACAAATGACCCAACCTGCTACAAAATTCTGCATCTTCCCACCCTGTGACCCACAGTTATGTTACATAACTTCTGCTGAATCCATTTACACTTCTCTTTTATTACCAAAAGCCAGAGAGAAGTCCACCACTTCAAGTGCTGATCTTTTGTAGGACATTTTGAACAGGCAGCCTCTGCTAAGACACCCTCATTACGCTATCAGCTTATTGGCCAGATAGAATACTAACTATTCATTGGACACGGACAGTCCAAACAACAATCTGCACACTGATATTCACTGTTAGGATATTTTAAATCGGGAAAGGAACTCAGGAAAGAAGGTAAAAGGCTTCCTTCCCCATCAGGATGCTGATCAGCTTCAGTCATATGCCTGATCTGCACTCTTACTGGCCTGTAATGAAACATCCAGAGCACTAGAAGTCTTTTTCAACATGACAGGATATAGTGCTTTTAGTTTACACTGAGCAGACTGAGAACACAGTGGCAAGCAGTGACTGAGGGCTGTGAGCCAAACGTCATCACCTATGCTCCACAGTGGTTTGGTAGGCCTTTTCTCAAAGTCTCTCCTAGGCCCTACAAGATCTATGACACAAAATACACCAGCCCATGTCTTGCCCTTTTTAAGCAAAACTGTGAATCCCTTTGTTATTGGGTGTCCAATAGTTACCAGGTAAACCAAGTTAAACTTATTCCACAGAATGGACTAGACAGCTTCAAAAAAGGTATTAAACTCAAATCCTGCCTTTCACTTATATTCCCTTTTGATTAAGGAGAAGAGCAAACTGTAGAGAATACAAAAACAGCATTTAGATAGGACTCAGCTACCAGTAAGGTTATCATGAACTTCTTATGAATGAGTTCTGCTACATACCCCTAGAAAACTTAAACTAGTTCTTCCATTCAGTTTGGTACTGCTGCTGTAAGAGGAAATGGAGAGGAAAGGATGTGTATGACAACTAGCAAAACTTTCTCATTCTGCACAAATCTGCCATATCCTAAAACATTTAACATGCTTATAGAGAAAAACAGAGACACAAACTTCGGAGACTTAATACCAACATCAAGCTTAAAAAGCGAAACAAAGGCTACTTTTCAAATGTTTTTCAGAGGAAATTTCTACAGAGTCCACGGAAGATAATTTACATTAAAATGTTGTATTACTTCATCAAATAAAACAAGTATGTACTTTATATCTATATGTACATGTACATATAAACTGATTTCATATATACATATATAGTACCTATTATGCATATATTTATGACACATGACAAAATTGTATATATAAAATCATAATTTTATATAAAAATATATTTTATATCTATCTATAAAAGAATAAATAAAATTAGATAAGGAGCTGGGCCCTTTTAAAGCCTCCTGATTTCTTAAAACACTGAAGATAGCTGTTCTAGCTCCAGTATACTGTACAGTAACTTCTAAGTTCTCTTTTGGACTTGGTAAATCAAGAGAAAACTGGCAAGGAGAAATGTTTTCCATATTTTCCTTAAAAAGTGGAATGCAGTACAGGTTTATCATTTTTTGTAGCTGTATGACTTCTCCTTTCTTGCAACAGTGCAATAAGCCCTCAAAACTGAATTACTGTGCTGTGAAGCTCATTTCATATTTTAAACTGTAGGTTCACATTACTCTAGACACTAGGTGCATATCTGAAGTAGAGTGAGTGCATTTCATTCACTGTAATGCATCTTGAAATACATTAAGGAAGAATATGAGTCTGACTCCAGGATTTCTTTGTGCTCAGTGTTAAGCGCAACTGCTACATATAACTGGAAGAAAAAAGACAGCTAAACAGAGCAGCATGACGGCAAACCACCAGCTGATGGCCGTGAGAGCAGAGAACCTTGAATGGGGCAGACTGCAAACATCCATGGGGGCAACAACCCACAGTCAGGAACTGAGTAAATCTGAATGGGCTGATGCAGAACTGGGTACTCACAACCCCAGCTAGGGGCAAGTCACCTCAGCCGATGGGGAAGTCGAAATCCACAGACTTTCCAGAAAGAAAACTAGTGTGGAGCCACCAGCACCCTCACTGCAGCCTACAGCGGGGTAGATGGTGCAGCTCTTTTTAGAGCTCCTCCCTGTCAAATTTCATTTGTTATTACACTCAGTTATGCGCAGCAATAGCCAAGGTACGCATCTTCATTTCGACTGGAACTGTATTTTGGTTCATCGTAGCAAGTGTCAAGTGACTTGACTAGTACTTTGCTTTACCTTTTAAATGTGAAATAAGAACTTAGGGGAAAAAAAAGAAATCCCATAGAGAAGTTGAAAATCTAACCAACCAGGAAAAAAATTATTAAACTGTAGAAGAGAAAGAAGAATTAGAGGAAGATCAAGACCACTTAGATGCAGTATAATTGGGTACAGGTACTGAAGCTTTTAAATCAATACTAAACACAGCAAAAGGAATAAATTAGCAAGGTAGACCATTTCTACCACTCTAGTATCTACCTGCTGTGCAATATTTACTGCTTATTTTCAGTAACAAGATTATTCTCAAACATACCTGTTCAAGAAGTTCCTTATATGTTATTTTCTCTTTGGTATTTGTCACAGGGCTGTCATAAATAACGGCAATTTGGTCTCCTCGTCCATTCTCAACATGACGATCTACAGCATTGTAACAGATATTCAACTCTCCACCCACAAACCTAAAAAAGAAGTTGGAATTATGTAACAGCAAGCCTTCCAAACTAATGAGACTATTTTTTTGCCCTTCTTTTTTTAAGGAAAGGAAGCATTCAACTAAAATATAGCTCATAAACCATTATACTCAGTTCAGGAAGTCATTTTTTAATCTATAACCTCACAATTTACTGAAAAAGCTAAATAAGCCTATTAGTGAAAATAGTGGAAGTACTGCACCTTAATTAACCTAACTAAGAATCTGCTAAATTCGGTCTTGATTTAACTTAGTTTGCATCAATCATTCTGATTTTTATAGCTAAGGTTTCACAGAAAAAGCACACATTCACATAAAATAATTTGACATTATGAAAATGTATTATTACACTACTTTGTATTGGCGTGGACACATATCTTTTTTAAGAAGAACAGGTTCAGGACTCAAAATACTCTTATTCATCCCTTGGCAACAACAGTTAAGCGTAAAAGCATCTGTATCTAAATGAAACTGACCCCAACAGTTACAAAATCTTATAAATTTGCCTGACATTCATAATGCATTTGACATTCCCATGTTTTACATCAGTGACTTAAAATCCCCTGTGAAGCGACGTGAGTCATAGCCTTTTCAACAACCAGACATTTACAGAAAATTCTCATCTTCTAATTAAAGAAAAACACTTCACAAACTCAGGTTTCATTTTTATCGTCATTTTGCACAGAAAAAGATAATTCAAGTACAGCATAATCCTCAAGTAAGAAAATACAGAAGGCATCAGATACAAAGATGACTCCACTAATTGAAAGATGACACAGAATCTAAAGTCCACTCTAAACAATGTTCTTTGTTATTGTTTGTCCACCTGCAGGTATCTCTACATCAAAAAGAAGCGCAACACACAGAAAAAAACACAGTTCAGAGTTTCCAAACAGTTCCATAGGGGTACTCATTGTGATGATGTGGTATTGTTACAATGTAACTAGAAATAAAAACAGATGGCCTATAGTAACTCACTATAGTTAAAAGTCTATTTACTCTTTGCCTTCCTGTCTAATAAAGGACTGCTCTAAATTAGGACATTTGATTAGTATATCCATATGCATAGATTCCATAGGACAGTCTTTATTGTCAAAGAATGGCAATTATTAATCCAAAAGCACTTAGGAAGTTTAGGATGCAGCAATCTCTTATTGTGACTCCTTTACAACGCCATTAATAAGGTGAAAGTGGGGGACCAGGAATGTAACAAAAACATTCTGTACCACAAACCCCTTCCCATAAAGGAAGAACTGTATGAACAATAAAGGATTGGGATTTGTTTCATGTAATATAGAGAAACTCTGTAGTACTGTCATAAAAGTTGTGTAGGATTCACGTCATCCATTGATTTTTATATCAAATCAAGATACTGCACAAGACAGTGCAGTACCTGGGCTACTATGCACAACCACTTCAGAATGGCCAAAACATTAGCGAGTACTGGAGTTTCGACTCTTCTAAAGGTACATTGCAACATCAACACTGCCACATAAACGTTTAACAATCGCTTGTGAACAAATATGTGAAAAAGATGTGACTGCAAGTTGAAATAAAAACCAAGACTGTCTGGACAGTGTGATGAGAGCTTTGCTACCCTGTTCAGAAGAAGGGTGGCTCTTACGGGATCAGAAGAGCAGAGAGGCACCTACCATGACCACAACTGCAAGATGTTCTCTTCTCTCTCGTCACTCAAGGACATGCTCAAATACCTCATTCCAGCTGACAAATAAAAGCTGCCTGGCTTTGAAAAGCTGCCCTGTGCTGCTGCAAACTTCTGTTGATCCAGTGATTCCCAAGGAGACGAACACCCATGAGGAACTTTGATTTGCTTGCATAAGCTTTAGTTCGAAAGAAACAGCAGCATGAGACCAAGACCCAGTTTTGGAAAAAGGACATCAATGAGATGCTCCTATTTAAAACAGAGGTCTAGAATCAAAAAGAAAATATTCCAATATGCTGCAGAAAGATCAGAGGTTGATCTGCAGGTTGTTTGTAAAAGCTGCCATAAAATCCTGCCACAATAAGCAGGACTGTAAAATGCTAATGTGTTGCTAACCAGACAATTATCTCAATGCAGCTTACCAACTGAATCCAAGTCTGAAGAATCTTATTTTAGGCTGTGTTCCTATTGCTGAGAAATTAATAACATCCAACAAATGGAGCAGAGGAAGAGTAAAACAAATAAAAAGAGTAAACAGTAACAACTCTAATAAATAAAAAAAAAAACGGACTCAGTTCATTAGCAGTCTCTCTGAAAAGCTCATCTACCTTCCACTGGTGCTATGGTGGGAAAAAAAGGACAGGGTTCTTCCTATCAAAAATCACAACAGAATTTAAGTCATTATAATATCAAAACAGCTTGCTTCCCAGCAACATTTTAAAACAGTACTCTGACAATATCTACCTATCCTTTCAAGAAGTCTTTTTTCCCGTACATGTATGAAAGCAGCAGCCTTTGATAATCCACATTATGCATAACTTACATCTAATAAGGCTTTTTTTTAATTTGAGTGTAGTTATGCACATTAGGACGCCCTCTAGCCTCCCTAAAGCTGCCTACAGCAGTCACTTAGGACTTAATGCCTCTTTGTGACTGGGGCTCAGTACCTCCTGTTTCACCCAGGCCCTGAGGTCTCACAGAGTTCCGTCATTTCACAAAAAGGAATCTCAAGCACAGGCACTTACCTCTTTAGTCATACTTTAAAATGACTACTCTATTAACCTTTTAGAGGTAGGAGTAGAAGGGAGCACAAAAATGCTGATATTCTGTTGATGTTTTACTCTTGGCAAGTCAGTAAGTTAGGTCTTCCAAAGCAGGACTCCTGTTACGTGCAGCTTAACATCTACCATCTACGGCCTGGAATATTTTGTTTTAGCGCATTCAGTATTTTTTTGGATGTGACAACAGCCTACTTGCTAGTAATGAAATAAGTATAGTAGTGAAGAAGGCAACACATAATTATGTCTTCATTCAGTTCACTCAAATATTCAAAAGTTATGCTTTAATTTCCAACACTATCTGCTATCTTAAGAATCAAAGTAGCTGTATTCAGAGATACTTCTTAGACTTCATTCAAAAGCTCAGAAAGCAAGACAATTAAGAATAAAAATAAGAAAGAAGGTAAAGGTTCTGAATAAAGCTGGCATATATGCAAAAGAAAAAACTACATTAAAATTATTTTGCACCATAACTGCAAAAAAACATATTGCTAAAATCCTTTTATGCCATGCAGGGTATATATACTTCAAGCCAGGTTCCCAGGAATCAGCTGGATTTTTTTTTTAATTTTTCTAGACGAAGTGAGAACAGAAGCTGAACAAAGTGTTAGACAAACCCACGACAATATTAGATATTTTGAAATAATATTATGTTAATTGATCCAGCCACATTTTTTTTAAATTGTAAGCAACATTTGAATAGCAATCTGTGCAACATTCCTGAAGTTCAAAGGTGATTTTATATTGCGCTTATGTCTTTGAATCAGAGAAAAAACATAACATGCAAAATTGCCATCTGCCTGCATGCATTAGGAAAAACTGTTTCTATCATTCCTAAAGAAATACTTGCTTAACCTTTCCAACTGGGATTCCACAAGATCACAAAATAATCTATTCAAGTGTTTCACTACCTTTAACATTAAAAAGATTTTTCTTTCTAATGTCTAAAAAGTACATCTCCCTTCTTGCAGTTTAACATTTCTAGTTTTGACCTCTTCAAACCCAACTCAGAGAACAGTTTTGCCTTTGAATTCTTAGCCAAATTCTCTTCAGACAAATTTTGTGTTTTAAAACTTATATGTCCCTTTTGGTTTCTACACCAAATAATTCCAATTCCTTCATCCTTTTCTTGACCAATCATGCTTTTTTGTTCTTCTTATTATTTTTGATGTGGGCAAAACCAGATGATGTTTTGCACCGTACCAACCACTGATGCAGGTTAGAACAGTCAATGGTACCTGGGATTACTGCTTCAACAAAACAGCCGGGGGATGGTGACACTGATCGCATACCTTTCGGAAATCATTTTGCAACCCACTGACATAACACCAGTGTTTCCAATGGAAAAGACTAAAGGAAACACACTAGGGCATGCTGCACATTTCTTTCATGCTCTTACTGTATTTAGAGAGGACAAATTGGAATTTGCCTTAAAGCTACATTTTAAATACATTAACTGTCTCCTTCAATTTCTTCAACTGAAGTAAATGAGACCAGAAAATACATTAAAAGTATCTGTTTCCATAAGTCTCACATTTGGCAACCAAAACCAAAGATACTGAAAATAAATGGATATTTCTTAATTGACCTAATAATATGTCTCCAAAACCAGAGATGAATTCTAATTCAAGAAGCACATACATGAACTTCTTAATACTATTTTTAAGGTCTCTATAAACTGCTTCCTAGGTAAAACTCCGAACCAGAACTACATCTTTACACTGTTAGCCCAGCAAGCTATGTTCTTCTTGGAAGCCTGGCCTCTTCCTCAGTTCCATTCTGTCTTCTTTGTTTTCTCTTCAGCGTGACATTGTCCTGCATGACATCCTTATCTCTAAATTGGAGAGACATGGATTTGATGGATGGACCACTCAGTGGACAAGGAATTGGCTGGGTGGTTGCACTCAAAGAGGTCAACATGGTCAATGGCTTGATGTCCAAGTGGAGACCAGTGATGAGTGGTGTTCCTCAGGAGTCAGTACTAGGACGGGTGCTTTTTAACGTGTTTGTCAGCAACACAGACCGTGCGATTGAATGCACCCTCATCAAGGTTGCCGATGACACCAAACTGTGTTGAACAGTCAACACACTGGACAGAAGGGATGCCATCCAGAGGGAACTGGACAGGCTTGAGAGGTGGGCCTGTGCAAACCTCTAGAAGTTCAAGAAGGCCAAGTGCAAGGTCCTGCACTTGATCAGCACCCAGGCAATCCCAAGCACAAATACAGGCTGGGTGGAAAATGGATTGAGAGCAGGCCTCAGGAGACAGACTTGGGGGTGTTGGTTGATGAAAAGCTCAACATGAGCCGGCAATGGGCACTTGCAGCCCAGAAAACCAACCACATCCTGGGCTGCATCAAAAGAAGCATGGCCAGCAGGCCGTGGGAGGTGATTTTGCCCCTCTACTCCACTCTGGCAAGACCCCACCTCGAGTGCTGCACCCAGCTCTGGAGTCCTCAGCAAAGGAAAAACACAGACCTGTTGGAGCAGGTCCACAGGAGGTCCACAAATATGATCAGAAGCCTGGAGCAACTCTGTTATGAAGAAAGGCTGAGAGAGGTGGGGTCATTCAGCCTGGAGAAGAGAAGGCTCTGGGGAGTCGTTATAACAGCCTTCTAGTACCTAAAAGGGGCCTACAGGAAAGATGGGGAGGGACTCTTTATCAGGGAGTGTAGTGACAGGACGAGGGGCAAAGGTTTTAAACTGAAAGAGGGTAGTTTTAGATTAGATATTAGGAAGAAATTCTTTCCTATGATGCTGGTGAGACACTGGAACGGGTTGTCCAGAGAAGTCATGGATGCCAAATCCCTGGAAGTGTCCAAGGCCAGGTTGGATGGGGCTTTGAATAACCTGGTCTAGTGGAAGGTGTCCCTGCCCATGGCAGTGGAGTTCAAACTAAATGGTCTTTAAGGTCCTTTCCAACCCAAACCATTCTAAGATTCTATTATTCTGTGTCCTCTGAAAGAGCCTCCTGTATCCTCTTTTATTCAGTCTTTTCCTCAAAGAACTTATGTCACCCTGCTGAGCATACTGAATGGTAGTAACCATCTGGGTCTTCAGAAGCATTAGAGTACTACACTAGTATTGCATACATCCTGTTATCACTTAAGGTGAACTTAAATAAAAAAAGAAATAAAATTGGATATCGCACGTTGAGACATCGAAGAGGACTATGTAAGTTTGAATTGCTTAATGTTTTGTTACCCAAAGCAGAGCAACAGATACCTGACATCCAAACAATAATTATGGCCTGATGTTGAGTCTTCAGAGAACTGCATCTTTGCATAATCTCATAGAATCACAGGCTGGTTGAGGTTGGAATGGACCCATGGAGGGCACCTGGTCCAATCCCCCTGCTCAAGCAGGTCCACCTAGAGCCAGTAGACCAGGACCATGTCCAGATAACTTTTGAGTATCTCCAAGGATGAAGAGTCAACAACCAACTCTGTGCCAGTGCTCAGTCACCCTCTAAAAATGTGCTTCCTGATGTTCAGAGGGAACCTCCCGTGTTTCAGTTTGTGTCCATTGCCTCTTGTCCTGTCACTGGGCACCACTGAAAAGAGCCTGGCTCTTTGCACCCCCCCCCTCAGCTATTTGCCCACATTAACAAGATAATTTCAGCCTGCGGCAGTCTGCATCCACAGAAGGAGAAAGATGCAAGTATGACACAAGGCCAGAAAAGACTGACTTCAGCCCAGGAAAATTTATCTCTGCCATAGGACAAAATAACTTCTATCTGAGAAGTCACAGTGCTTTACTACTTTCAGCAAACAAGCTTATCAACAAATCAAACCACATTTGTTTTACAGAATCTGATAGCAAAACCACACTCACAAGCGTGTATTATATTATCATTCCTTAGTCCTTAGAAAGTAACCATTGTATTGACTTCTTCACTGCTGTGTTCAGGAATAAAACCAGTGAGCTTTACTGGTCTTTAATTATGCAGGCGATCCTGCTTGCCCTTTTTGAACAGTACCA